GTGAGGTAAAGAGTCGTAAGATGTCTACACTCGGTAATATGCTTTTTGAAACAACACAGAAGAAACGGTCCACTCATTTTCTAAAGCAGAAAATCCGTGTTGCTTTAATGCGAGGCAATGCTGTCTGTGCGCAGAAAACGTTCTGTATCGGTAGGAGGTTGTGATTTTTCCGTATAGAATTTTTTGTGATTTTTCCTGTTTGGTTCATATTGTATGTTGTTTTGGGCATTCGCACGTCCATACAGACGTTTAAATAATTATAATGCGTCAAACATCTGTCGCTCATACGTTACGTCAACCAACAGAAAAATTCAAAAACCAATTGAACTCGATCATACTATTACTAAACCTTAGAGGTTCGCAAACTATGACATTTAACCATTTTCATAATTCAATTGTTCTGTAACATGCCACAAAATTATCTGTTTTATTCGATGTGTTTTGAGAAACGGTAGTAAAGTGTATGTGTTTGCTGATGATATTGTCATTCTCCGTCCTTCTGTTAAAGATAATGATCATGTGTTGCTTCAGGAAGATATTTTCTGAGTAAACGATTGGCTTTTTGGAAACTGTTTCGCGCTTAACGCTGAACAATCTGTTCATGCTTGTTTTTATGCCAGGCGGAGTATTCAAAATTGTAACAAGTACCGTATTAATGGTAGTGACAAATCAACAAACGATGTCGTTTAAGTATCTAGGCGTTCCAGTCGACCGGAAACTGAGTTGGAAGGATGACAGTGAAAAACTTTTGTTGAAGGGTACAAACGGTTAGGCTGCATAAATCGGTTATTTAAACACCTGCACTCTGGGGCAAAAATCGAATTGTTTGAATCTTTGGTTTTATGAGCTGTTGATTATTGTGCATCCAGCCCACATTCAGTGCTTAAAATATATAGTGAAATCACGAAAAATGCCAGTCTAAATTTGTAAAAACCGTGCGCCTAGGTAATGACCCTTTGCATATGAAAACCGGTTGAAAGAGCTGAAATGGGACACTCAGCAATTACGACGCATAAAAAAATTATTTACTAACATTTATTTACAAGTTAAAAATCGGCAAAGTGCCGTTAGGCGACCTTTGTATCGTAAATGTTTCAAAAACCAGAACATAGAAATTAAATTCTCGCTTCGGAATCCGTGCTTCCTCGGCCATGGTGTCGGCAGAGCCTGCTCCTTATGACGTCTTCATGATATGGAAGGTATCCGTCTTCGTGATATGGAAGGCATCTTGGAAGCCCGGGTATCCGGACGAGTGACAGCCGAAACCCAAGACTTTCCGTGGCTGAAGGGGACCGACATCATGCCGCTCGGTCTCTTACTGACATTACGATACGGACCGGATGGTTCTAGAACTGACGTGATATTCGCGAAACCACAGGCGCGATGAACTACATCTCTGGTTATTTCACTGTGCTGGGAGATTTTCGCTCTGGCTTTTACACCCCAGCCCGTGATATCCCATAGATCCACCATTCCATCGCAAAAATAAATGAATTCACTGCTTAACATGTAGTTCGTAGCTTGTTATTCCACCGTCAGCTATCTACGGTAAACCGGCGTGTCTAAGAATCTAAGTGCCGTTGCGCACTGCATTAGCTCCACCTGGTGGAAGTGGATAGCTTGAATGTGGAAATCAAGGAAGTTTTCTAAAAGGAATACTACTTGCAGACTTGGGGTCCATCTTATTTGACAAGCTTTAACGCTATAGGTGTCGCTGTGCATTTCATCAAGTGCTTTCATCTGCTACTCCAGTATTAACCTATACACCGCACACTAACTTCGTGGGTATTTATTTGTTTACGTTCAATGCGCCGATTTGAGGAAGCTCAATTTTATTTGTTTGTAGCGAGTACTAAATTGTATTTAGTCCCAATCCGTTGGTACTACTGCGTTAGACCGTTAAATTAATTAAAGAAGCGAAGCTTTTTTGACAGTTTTATCTAACAGTATTTGTAGAACGTGATGGCTGACGAGGAGGCATTCAACGCGGAGGAATTCCGCTCTACGCAGGAACACCGGCACCGTCACATCGAGAATAGTACGCTCGGCCATGTTTACGAAGTAACGCTCGCCAGCGATGATGGCTGTGCAGCAACAAAGGTGAATTATCTCAAGGAACAGTAGTTACGAATTAAGAGTCCGCCAGAGAGCAAATGCAGGAGCGCTTTGGAATGTTGATGCAGTTGAGTCACTAGAACATAGTTGCCTATCATCATATTACGGTGTACTCAGGATCACCCGGGGAGTACATTACGGTGAATCTGCTGATGGATCATTATAAAGATAATCGAGAGAAAGAATAATCAAAGCAAAATTCAGGAAAAAGCCGGTACAGGGTACGGTTTAATAGCGTCCCCTCGTTGGAAGTTGGAGACTTGGCTCATCGTCTGAAGCAGTTATCGGAGGAAGTTTAACTTTGCCAGAATAATCCTGACGACAGTATATGAACATGGCCACATAGTATTTAACACGTACATGTATTTAACATGCACATGTATGTAAACATGTACCTGTATCGCTGTATGTAACATGTAAACGTTTGTAACGTTTACATGTATGTAACATGTACATGTATGTAGACATGTACATGTAGGTAAACATGTAGAAATAGGTAACATGTACATGTATAGATATGTAAAATATATCTACAAGGTGTGTAACATGTTGGTAAAGCATAAACTGTAATAAATTTAGCGGAAACTCATTGTGCACTCACATGTCGGCATGATAATTGATTATGAACGTTCCACGTATGCCTGTCTAAGCTGTCTTGAACTCACCAATGCACATAAGGGGCCTACCCCACCAGAAAAATTTGAATTGTTGCAGAAAGGTAGTATACCTATGTAGTGTAATTAAAAAAATAATTTCAGCTGCTGTAATCAAGATGGGCGGGGCCAAGCGCAAACTAAGAGTATCTACTACCAGATACTATTACCAGCACAGGCTTTACGCGAAGCAGTGATTTTTCGGGCACTGCAGGAAACCATTAGCCGGGACTTTTGCAGCTGCCGAGCATCTGGGCAACTGGAACAAGCGTGCGTTGGTCTTTGCCATTGAATTATCGACTTTTAGAAATTACCATTTCCGATTTTTGTGTTTTTGCTAATTAGCAAAGAAGATTTGTTGCACGCTGTGCAGAAACCCATATAATGCAGTAATACCCAGTTTTAAATGATAACGCAGTTTTGAAAGTAGGCAATTTGAAAGCGTTGGCAGAGACCACCGCAAGCGGGTTTCACTTGCGCAGCTGCTTGGCAGCTGCAAAAGTCCACGGCTAGTAGACTGCTGCAGTGCCCGCAAAATCACTGCTTCGCGTGAAGCCTGTGCTGGTACAGTAATACATACATAGTATGTGGTAGTGGGTACTCTTTTAGTTTGCGCTTGGCCACGCCCATCTTGATTACAGCGTCTGAAATTATTTTTTCAATTATGCTACGTAGGTACAGTGCCTTCCTGCAAAAACTCCGATTTTTCTGAAGGGGGAGGAACCCTATGTGCCCTGGTTGGCCACAAAGAAGACAACTGTAAACCAGCAACACAACAACAACAGAGCACAGATATTCACTGGCAGCGGTGCCACGACACTGGTCAGGAATCTCGTGGAATGACTCGTACTTGTATGAAGTATCTACTCGTACGTCACACTACGGTACAGTACTTCCAGCAGCAAGGAAGAGGAAGCACTGGATGGCAAAATAATCGTTACGAAGGGACGCTGGCATACTAATTGTTACCCTCTCATTGATAATTGAGTGGTTACCGCAGCTGCAGGCAAAATATCGCTGCGGTTGCCGGGATATCTGCGGTGCAGTGTGCGGGTATTTTTAAGTTTATCTGGAGGCGGCATCCAACATATGCAGTCGTACTGCCGCTTTTCGCTGGTTCCGCTTTCTCCGCGAACCGTATGCTGTAATTTGTTACAGCTTTTATTCAGAGTTATACGAAATAGCTGGAGCCTGGAGCTAAATATATCAGCTGTTTACAGTGTATATGTATATAAAACGAGCTTTCTCCCGTGCAGATGTGTCCAAACAGATGGAGGGCTGACAGCTAATTAAAAAAGTGCGCGCGCATCCTTGCTTACTCCTTAAGCAACCTTGAACCAAAACATGTCGCCTTGTGTTGGCATCTGGAAAATTCTGCTGTATTTTATTATTGCCGGTTAATCGTGGGCTTTTGTTGCGGATAAGCAACACATTCGCATTTCTAAGGAGTAGCCAGCCGAACAAGCGCTTTTATATGAAAGGATACATAATACTTAAATATAAGGGGAATTTAACTGCAGAGGCAAGCACTCCCTGTACTTGCTGCCGTCACCCGACTGGAGTTTTACGTTGTGGCTAAACATGGTGCTTATGTACCGCGCCTGATTTAACCGCATGTATTGCCGTAACGTCACACTCCAGGCGGGTGACGGCAGCAAGTACGGGGAGTGCTGGCCACAGCAGCTAATGTCCCCCTATATTAACATTTCTGGCACTGCTGCAACTTGCCCTTGACCGTAATAAGCCCAGTCGGAAAAGGATAATAAAAAGGCCCCGATCATACAGTATTACACACATTTTCCGAAGTACGTACAGACGTATATGATGCCGTTGAGCGGATAGTGTGCGTTGGCATTGGAATACAGTAGCACTCATCCATAACGACAGCTAATGCAACCAAATGCTCCTCGTAAATCACGGGAGATACCGTGTCAGGAATTCTCATTATACGCCTGTCAGAGCGCGGACGACAGTAATGCCGCGATAGATTGGACAGATACTTGTGCGACCCGTTGACTGCAAAAACCGCTACCGATCCGAGTAGCTTTGTGGTTTACTGCGTGAGAATGCATTAAGAGATGATTAGAAATCACTGGCACAAGACGGCGAGCGTCGGAATAGAGTATTCATCAACTACTCCATTAAAATGAGCGTATTATTTGTTATTTCAAATAGTTTCATATGATATTTGTCCACCTGATTTTTGGACTAGAACTGTGAGTGACTTCGAGCTTTAAAGTAGTTAACTCCCAACGACTGTGTCTTTGTATAAGGCTGGCCTGCGTGAAAAAATTCAGTTCGTACGCACAATCGATTATTTTTTACGGATGTGGTAATATTGATTTTTAATCTTCCTATCTCCTTCGCCTCCGATCGCTCATTAAGAGCGCTCATAACGATGTGCCCGGCATCGCTACGGCTGATTGGCCCCGGCGTAATGAGCGGTGATGTTTTTGTGCCACTGATGGCCTTCTCCGCTGGCTAAGTGCACCATTTAATAAAGTAGCCAAATCAAGGAATCTCCGCCGGCGATTAGTATGTCTCTCCTAATGCCCATAACCCTACGGTTTCCTTATAGCGATCGCTCATGCACTTGTAAAAGCATTCGTGAAAGGGATCGAACTTTGTGATAGAGTTGATTAGTAAATGGCTCGATCATGTGGCGTCGTAAAAAAGGGCGTAAACGTATGAAACTGTAATCTACGAGTGCATTACATACGTGCGCATTGAATTTCCATGTATTTAGTCGATATTTCAGTAGATTATGGATCACGCTATCCGTTTCCGCGTAAATCCAACCCAGTAATGTCAAGAAGAGGCTGCGAGCCACTCACCCCGGTCGTTTATTGGCGTTACCTTGTCAGATTGGTAATTGACGGGGTTTGGCAGCGGTTGCTGTAGGACAAGAAATCTCTCGCAGAGGTACAACATCTCTACCTTTAATAAGCATCCCGGCACTAGTGCAGACAAGCAACGGTGACTACTTTGCGTGCAGAAGTGTTGAGAAGAAACAAATCGTTCCTTACGGCTGTGCATCGCGCTTCCTGTTGCAGCGCGCTGTACACGTGTTAAGGTAGTGGATACAGAAGCCGTTGAGCACGATTCGAAACAAGTGATGATTATGCATGCGGGATGTTTACTGAATGGGACGTGTATTGTAGAAACCGTTAAGACTAACGTGGAAGCTCCGATTGGATAGGCGCGGTTGCCAGTTGCATGTGGCGCAATGTTCTCCGCGGACAGTAACAGCAGCCGCGACGATGAGGAGACCTGCCGGCACAACTACACCATCCTGCTGCTCTTCATCAACGCCACCAATCCCGACTACTTCCTCTACCGTCTGAACGACATCATCATCCTGCTGACCATGGCCGTGCTGGGCCTCCTCTTCAACGCCCTCATGGCCTGGCTGCTGCTGCGCGACCAGCTCTGTGCCCCGTCGGCTAACGCCTTCCTGGCCCTGCACTTGGCCATAGCCGATGTGATAGTGGCCTTGTTCTGCATGGTCTCCGACGGGGCGTGGAATATCACCATGCAGTGGATGGGCGGCAATGTGCTGTGCAAGATCGTCAAGTTTATGCAGATGTTCGGGTAAGCGCTCTGTTGCAGTTACCGGGAATAACTGGAGCGTAATAGTGGGGTGAAACGGTAAAGGGTATGTTACTGTACAAACAACAGTCTAGAGGGCACCGCGACATTTCGCCGCGGACATTTCGCCGTGGGACAATTCGCCGTGGACATTTCGTTTCACGGACAACTCGACGTGAGACATTACGTTTTGGGACTTTTGGTTTGGCGGACAATAGGTCGCAAGGACATTTCGTTTTGGGAAAGATGGCCATTGGGACATTTCGACGCACGGACAATACGTTTTGGGAAAATTCGTTGTGTGACAACTAGCCGCGGTACATCTCGTCGCAGTTTATGCAAAAAATACGTAAATCAAAATAAGTTCGCATTCTAAATAAGCTGAAATTATCATAAATCAGTTAGACGTTATTCACAGAGATCTGCAACAGATTAAGAGCAATTCGTAATTCGTACAATAATCGTAATTCGTACGCAGTTAATATACAATTAACAGCGAATTTCTAGCTTATGCAATTAAAAGCGAAATAACACGAAGCGAAAAACTACAAGGTGTTAGCGTTATGCTGTACAACTAACCTTCCTTCAAAATATCCTTTCGATTTAAAGAATTAATTCACGCTAGCACTATTAAAACTGTTGCACATACAAACAAAACACTGCAAAACTATACAAAATTAATCAATATCACGCCAGGCTGAAACAATTAACCAAAATGACGCTCAAATTTCAAAAGTAACGCACTACAAATTGATACGCGGCTGCGCTAACTGGCAGCCAGATTGCAGTTCGCAAAATTACGTCGGGTTGTGTTCGCTTGACCTTTTAGTTTTTACGGATAGAAGGTATGTATCCTATTGTTGGCTGGCTGGCACTAACACGTGTAATCTGTGTAGTATTCGATAATGTGACAGGTCATCCGCCTCAGTAGAAATTAATTACGTAAGTTTTCTGCTGCATTCATGCTTTTCAGGCAACTTGATCGCTTTAGCAGTGGAGATTAGCTACAATATTTTGCAAAAACATAAAAAATAACTTAAAAAAATAACGATAGGTTATTGATGGTTATCTTGAATGTTACAGCGGTTGTAGGTAGATTAACCACAGCTGAACGAAGCCGTACCCTGATTCTAAATATGGTAAAGCACATAATTTTCGATCTTGTTGCAGGGATATTGTAAATTTGTTCTCAATAATGATTTAAATGAGTAAATAAAATTGAACTATGACGGCGGTTTGGTTACTGTAATTATTAGCATTATAAGTGTTGTATTTGCGCTTGCAATGAACATATTAATAGCGATATTATCGTTGTGAGAGTTTTGCGCCTGATTGTCCCAGAACCAATTTCCGAAAACGAAATTTCCTCGCGACGAAATGTCCTAAAACAACATTTCCCAAAACGAGATGTCCGCGCGACGAAAGGTCCGAACGCGAAATGTCCTCGCGTCGGAATGTCCTGCGACGAGTTGTCCCACGGCGTGAAGTCGCACTACCATTTGTCCGTGTGCGGTCTAGAGGAAGACTACGCACAGTGTGAGTGGTGGTAAAGCTTGGTTACCGGAGTAAAATTATCCGGTGAGTAACAACAACACCGGTGCCATAACAACTGTCCAGCAACGTCATTTTATATAGTGGGTCAAAGTCGGAAGCAAGGTATATACTAAGAAAAATTAATACTGAAGGCCGTGTGCTTTTCGTAGATTATTTGCCACAACTCTGATCCTAACGGGAATGAGCGTGGAACGCTGCATTACCCTAATCTTCCCCATCAGTAAGTCCGGTCGGCATTTGGCGCTGAGGCGCAGCCGGACTATTGCCGGGTTTGTCTGGGTGATTGCCGGCGTGTGCTCCATCCCGCAGGTTAGTTGACCCCCATGATTAACATGGTATTAAGCGGCTCGTTGTGGGTTGATTGTGCGGGCAATTGTGGTCACACTTCGTGCGGAGGCGGTGTAATTCCCATCGATTTTCGATAAAGTCGAGCGCATTATCCTATCATCGTTACTGGGCACTTGCTGTAATTGGACCCTTGCTCAAACCTCTTGAGGCAGCTGGGTGGTTGGATAACCGCGTTATGCGATAGTGAATCGGGCAACCAGACACTAAATTTTTAACGTTGCTACCTTAAAAAAAGTTCAAAATCGAAAATCAGTCACGGTTATGATCTGCAAGATTTGCACATGTACCGACCTCAGGCACGTACTGCTTCTTCTGACGCAAAGGGCATCTTATTAATCCTACAGTATAGCGGTCAATAGTGTGGATAAGAACGTTTGGTATTTGATGCGGAAATAAACCAAGTGCAGTGAAAAGCCAATTCCCTTATAGTTTTGTGAACTAGGAGTTGCGCTGTAAATGAAGTCTAATTAGCTCCAAACAGCATCATATAACACAGACAACGTTCACGCCGGTCTTCGGCGGTGTCCATTGGGATAATTGTCCCGTGGCCGACGCGGCGCAAGGTTTAATTACTGTATTGCTGTAGGCGGTTATCTTTCATGTGGAGCGCGCGCCGATTTGCGTGGACTTCTACCAGTGCGTCACTCACGGCTCCTATTCCAGCGACCAACAAGAGCTGGCCTACAACATGCTCATCCTGTGCCTAATGTTTATTGTGCCGCTGGCCGTCATTTGCGTCTGCTACATCCTCATCTTTGCCAGCTTTACCAAGGAGGCCCAGCAAGCACTCGGTAAATTTAGCTCGGTTACGGTGAAAGGCTGTCGACGCGCCTTTAATTAAGGGAGCAAAGACGAGGTGTTTCATGGGAATGAATGTCCCGATAGTCAGTTACAGATCTTCTGAAATTATGGAGGAGTGACAGTTACTTCACCACAAAAATACCATTTTGGCTCACCAGGGCATTGTTACCGGCTCCGCTCCAGGAAAACTTCATTTTTGTATGAAAGTACAGTATCGATAGGTACAATGTAGGACTAAATTGTCGCATAGCCCCATACCCAGCATTCTGTACACAAGCGGTGCAGTGCACTTGTACGAAACGGATATTTTGAACTCAGTCGTACAGGCACTGCGCTGCATTCGTACTGAATGTGGAGATGTTGGGTATGCGACCATTTCGTCCTAAGCTGTACAACGCCCTGCTGCCTGTTAAACGGTAGTACTTAATTTTGTAGCAGTAGTGTCTGGTTAACACTGTGATAATTAAGAATCGAATTAAAGAACCCGTATCACACCCTGCTACCGGTTTTTTTGCCCAGTTTAATTTTTCCTTTTCGTAAAAATTTTATTTTGGGAGACGATTTCTGTGATGAGCTTTTTCTGCATTCTGAGCTAATTACAGAAATTTTCGTGGCCTTTTTAGCAAGCCAAAAACGTTCGGGCCTTCAAGGCAAAATTCGCTCCGCTTTGGAAGGAGAATGTTCTTCTTCGGCTCGGTTGGCGAAATCGTTAAACTGTCAGCTTCCTCCACACCTCCTCAGTGAGCGGACTGTTCTGACAGATACCTTTGTCGCGCTTTGCTGATCCTTAGGCCCTTAGTAGGCGCATTTCCAGAAACTGAATACCCGTCCTGGTTCTTGTTATACTGTAGTTAATTTACGAGGAAGGGAATTCTGCATTCAGGCGATGCACGGTAACGCGCAAACGAGTAAGATTTAAAAACTTTGATTATCTAAAAACACTGACCTGCATCATACAGATTCATTACGGTATATTACCGCGTTGTTGAAAATGCACTTACAGTACAATACATAACTGCAACGTAGCTGTACAGTATTTATATATACAGATAATTACATTCAGTATATAGTTTAAATCATTGTCATTTAGTACCATGTTTGCATGAATACTGTACATTTATTACATGTCTAAACCCATGTTGACCACGCCCACTTCAACACGGCCGATGAACGTGTTTCTTCCATATATAAAACAGGATTCTCCTGGGGCAAGAGCCATTTGACATGATCCTAGTTTGCCCCGAGCGCGAAGCGCGAGATGCTGCAGTTTAGCCTTCGTGAAGAGCATAAATTTTGAATTACGCCACGAAGAGCGTACGTCACGCTTTTCCAGTTCCACAATCCCAAGACCATTGGTATTGGCGCTCGCGATCGTGCAATAATGTGGTCCGCAGCCACCGCTAGTGGGTTAGATGATCTTCACGCTTTAGTTGCATAGCCTGATTGCAGCAGTAATGGAAGTCGTACGTGTTTTCCTAACAGCAAACAATCCTAACGAACCTTCCTAACATGAACCTTCCTAGCATGTACGCATCGTAAGACTAAGTACTAGTAGCATTAATTCAAATGTAATGTTGCGCAATTTTAACGCGGTTTCGGACCTTTTACAGGATTGTAGGTGTCTTGCCAGCATCAGTTAGCCTTTCCATTGTTTTCATCAGCTGGTTTTTTTTGTTTATATGTAGTATTAAGTGCGAGTACTGTACTGTGCCCGTTGTTTGTATAGGTGATAGTGATATCAGACCGCAGCTGCTGAATCCCCACGCCCGAGACGGTCCAAGACGCGGTCAGCGACTGTACTTGAAAATGCGAAGGATATCTTTGTGGATGACATTTTGCATTGCCGTAACGTTTGTTGTCTGTTGGAGTGAGTACATATAGGGGGAAAACCAAGTCTACTCGGCCCGTTTCCCTGCACTTCTGCCGTCACCCGCCTGGAGTGTAGGCTGTGTAGCGTTGCGGCAGTACATACAGTTAAATCAGGCGCGGTACAAAAGCACTATGTACAGCCACAACGTAAAACACCAGCCGGCTGACAGCAGAAGTACGAGGGACTGGTTCGGCTAGACTTGTTTTTCCCCCTACATCATCCTGCTGCGTATAGATCGCTCCGCCGTCAGAGTGTCCAACTTGTATTTGTGTTGTGCAGCCCCGTATTACATGCTGACGTTAGCACATCTCTTCAAATGGAGCAGTCCACCAGCCACACTGGCATCGTTATATCTCTTTGGTAATGATCAACGCATACCACACATCACGAAGGGTTAACATAATGCACGGCACAAACCGTTCCTTTTTTCTAGGAATGAGCAATTCCGTAATAAATCCCATAATTTTCGCCGGTTTTCGATGGGTTTCGGCGCAGCTGCCGGGAAACACCCACAATAAGAGCCATGGGAATGCTATGGACACCACTGAAGTGCCCGCTGGCCTCGTGCGGCTGAGGTCGCCGACGTAATGTCCGAAATCGGTTGTGCACTGCACACCGTGCTGTACAGCATTCGACTACCTATGTCGTGAGCGCGATGGAATGCGATTGCATTTTCGTGCAAGATTTCGTATATCGTCAAGCTGTATCACAACTTCTATAATAATAATTGTTATTCGTTCCAAAACAGTCAGAATGCGTGGAAAGGCATGTTTTGCTCAAAGCCTGTAGAATACCCGTGAATTTCAGAGAAATGCACAAGTTATTGGTTTACTGGAATACGACTTGGTTCGATAAGAGCACACTTCATACACGCTTTAACTGGCTGCAGCCACCCAAATTGCAGAAACTGGAAACGCCATGACACTACACGATTATAAGCATACTGCGAACGTTGAAAAGCGACCGAACTTTCTGTCCTTCCGGGTTTTAAAGGTAAAGGTAACGGTGAAGGTGGTTAAAGGTACTGTAGCTATGCTTAACAGAAGTGCTGTACCAGCACATGTATCTTTTTCAACGGAGTGACCCGGTACATGCACAAGATACCTACCACAGTTCGTGCACATGTGCATGCAGTTGTTGATTTCCAGATTAGCTAAAAATCCGAACCATATTATAGTTTTTCCATTTACCAAGCGTATCCCACACCGATCTCGCAGTACCTCTTATAACGTATTCTTTATATATGCCCCTGCCGTCTTCAGTTGGTGGTTTGGTGGTTAGAAAATTTTATTCAACGTCAGTAAGCCAAAGTATCTTTCTGTGTCCATCGCATACCCGTCATGCGTCCGATTGAAATGCTCTGGTGTCTTTTTTCCTTGAAATTTGAAATATTCTAACATCAAAGGGTATAACACTAAAACCAGGGCGCTATCCACTGGAAACCGAGAAACGGATGAAAAATGCACCGAGGGGGGAATCGAACCCCGGCTACGTCGTTAGATCCGCGTAGGCAGTACCATTGCACCACGGCGCAATACGTTGAAATCCTTTGAAAAATTTTGTCGCTTTACGTGAGCCGCTTTTCTCCTCACAACACCATTATATCTGATTAGCTAATATCATTGTTGCCGATACCTTCGCCCAGACCTACATAGGCCATACATCGCGTGTCCCAGGAAGCGCAGCGGAAGTGAGAGAGAATCAGAAGTTACGGAAGTACGATGGACTCGCGGATCGATACGTAGTACAACCTGTGGCTTTTTGAAACTACGGGGACATTTGGACCACTAACAAAGAAATTTTTCAAAGATCTGTCAAGAAAGATTTGCGAATGTAGTGGTAACCCTCGGTCGGGAGAGTTTTTGCGTCAGAGAATCAGCATTAAAATACAACGCGGAAGTGCTGTGTCTGTCCTCGGAACATTTAATGAGATGCGAGACAACGAAGACGTTTTTTTAGCTTTTAGATTGGCCAATCGGGAATGATTGGAGGCCGATGTTGTATTTCTTAGCAGCTCCGCTGTGATTTTGTTATTATGCAATAAACCGAGTGTATTAGCTAATCGCAACTGGAATTTCTACCAGAGTTGTATGGTTATCCCTCCCCTTGGGAACAGTAGAACGTCAACCTATCCCGTATTTGAACCTATAAGGAAGCATGCGGAAAGATTTTGTACCCTAAGATCTGGCCGTCAAAGGTGTTCGTAAGGGAATGGGTTTACTAATTTTCTGCTTAAAGGCTTGAATTGCACTGTGGAATATCTCAAGATACGTGAATTTTGTTTTAGCTGAATACTGTTTGTTGTCTTCCTCGGTTTACAAAGTTCTCGTCTTTGTCTGAATGCTGTCTGCAACATAGAGGGGCAGACGCCACGCTGCAAGGGCATTAATCTCCATCATTTCAAAAGAAATGCAAACGATCTCACTGATGAAAATATGATTCAGCCAAACTCTGAATTAATATAAACGTAGGGTACGGTGAATATTCCCAATATCTGTACATAGTGCTGTAGCGATAGTATTTGCCGAACGAAAAGACCACCCCGTTATGATTAATCTTCCATCGTGTTACTGTTGACTTTTACCGGCTAATTCTCCTACTCATGAACTTTTAGAATTCAGTCTTGTACTCAGCTTGCTACAGCTTCCAACCTTGCACCATCAACTTGTACTTCTTGGTCAAACCCTGGCTTACAACCTTGCTCCGTTTCCTGCATTGCCCCTGTCATTAAAAATGCCTTGAGTTAGGTTGTTGCGTTTGACCGCTTGGGATGAACCTGTGTTATCTTAATCGCAGCCACCTGTGTAATTGACGAGTTACATCAGTAAGAGCGTCCGTTGCCGGCCGTGCCACCTTTCATCCCAGCAGCCGACAGATCGTGGTAAGGTGGATTAACCAACCCACTAGAACAGCAGTCAGATAGGCTGTTGTAACAGTATTTATTTATTTATTTATATACTGCGTGTTGCCGTTGGCGCTGTAGCGCTATATGTACTCGTACAGATAGTTGGGCCACGCACAATCAACCATGGCCGATGAATTTTTTTTCAGTATTCCCAAGGGTAACTCCGACTTCTTGCATAAAAAAAAGATTCTGGGAGGCGGAAGCCTCGGACATGGCCCTATTCTCTCCCCTTCCAGTGCTCAGTTCCCGGTCAGCAGGTTTCCCATCCAAGGCAGGCCATGCATGCCTTTCCCGACATTATCTTCGACTGATCCGCTGAGTTAAGAGCGACTGCACATCGTGTTTGAAAATGATGTGTCATTTTAACAAATACGCCGGCTTATGACTGTTTCCTTGGACAAGCGGCCTTCCTCTGATTTGGGACGTGACGGTTTGTGACAGGCTCGCTTCGTCGTACGTAGGAGGTGCATCATAAGGTGCGGGATCTGCAGCAAATGACGCGGAACCACTGGTCGCTAAATGGTCCTTAACAAGACAATGACGTTTCTCTGGATCACTTCTCGCTTTTTGCTTCTAGGAAATTTGTTGCACACCCTTGAGTTTTACTGAATTGCATTCCGATAAAATGAGCTGGTTGTTTGTTTGTTTGTTGTTTGTTTAATCAGCTTATTGTCTACCACAATCAGGACACTCCTGCACGAGGTAGTAGACTACCATACAAGAAAACGAAGAAAGATGTGCTTTCAAACTAATGAAAGCACTACGTAAAATAAAACTAACAACAATGCAAATTATTTTACAGCAAAGTACGGTGGTCAGCATGTATAAAACGTTTAGTCCAATTTAAAGCTGTCCAATCAACACGGTCCAAACTGGAACAAAAAGCAGCGATGTTCGAGTACGACTCCACGGGAAGTTTGATTTCGTTCCAAAGCTGCACCATAAGGAATGCGAAGCTCCTTTATTATTATTATACTACATCATTATTGTACGGCAGGCAGGTAACCCATTAAAAGGCTAGGATCGAGTTCTAGCCTGGGAATTTAAACCTGGCTAAATAACAGGAATCATGAAATTAGAGCAAAAGCCACAAAACAAGAGAAGTACTAAGAAAAGAAAGGCATCAAATAATAGTAACATGCTTCAGTGCATTACGAAAAACAGCAAGCGAACTGCTCTTAAGAATGTCGCTTCCGGCCTCGGTTAGCTGGCTCATAACGTTGTTCAGCCTCCACGCCAACGTGGACTTCCCCGTCCTTGTCCTTCCCTGTCCTTCGATGAAGGTCCTGTTTCCGCTTCGAAGGCTGTACGGTTTGGAATCGTGTTTTACGACGATCATTTCGGTGAGGTAACGGGGCACTTGGAACTTCTCCGGGTGCAGAATTTTGTAAAGCCAAGTTGCTTCCTGGTGTTTCCATCGCTTAAACAGTGGCGTTATCTCGTATTGCTTCATCAGGTCGGTGGTGGACACTTCGGCATAGTTGGCAATAGCTCGAATGGCTTTTCTTTGCGCGACAGCCAGCGGCTCCAGCGTGGACACAGGCGCACCGCTCCACACAGTGGAGCGGTGCGCCTTTCACTTAATAATGTTCGGCCATCTGAAGAGACTGTCCTCGTAGGTTCCATTGCATAGGGATGTTCGTCCAGGGCGGTTGTTTGACGGGTTCTGTCTGCAACACAATGGGAAACAGCAGAAACTTTTTCTCGAAACTTGATAAATTTTTTACCGTAGGGAACAAGATCAAATGCCAGTTTGTACATAAGAAGCAGTGACTTTTTAATGCGGCAAAACAACAGCGACTTACAGTCAGCCAGTCGTAGTGTGACAGGATATTCAAAATTACATGGCCCGAAGCGAACCGTTTTCAAAAAACGATACTGATAATCTTCTAAAAGGTCAATTAACAACTTTTGTTGATAAAAGGCGACTGAACTACCATATTCAGCGATTGGCTTTACAAGAGCATCATACAGTTTTCTTCTAGTTACGGTATTCTGATATGGAAAAGGGGCATTCAAATAGCGAATTCGCTTCTTCGTACGACTGGCCAGATTTTCACAATGATATTTCCAGTTAAGCTGACGGTCAACGTAAATACCCAAATATTTCGTATATTCTGCAACTGGTATACTCTCATCATTAATGGAATACACACTGCTTTGAAGCTTTGAGCGCTTTCTTGAAAACCGAATATGTGCCGATTTTTTAGGATTAAATTTCAGCTGATGATCTGCAGCATATTCTGACACAGTATTAAGAGCAGACTGCAAGTTTTGTTCGTCTTGTACAGACTCGACCTTATGGAACACACATATATCATCAGCAAAAACAAGCACTTCACAGTCCTTGGGAAGACCAGAGATATCATTCAAAATACACAAGAACATCTTCGGGCCTACCTTCGATCCTTGGGGAACACCACTTATAACAGCCATGACAGGGGAAATCTTACCATTGACAACTACAGCTTGGCATCGGCCTTGCAAGTAGTCACTAAGCAACTTACTAATACTTTCATGTACGTTTAAATTACGTAGCTTGCTTACCACAGTTGCATGATCAACTCTGTCAAAAGCATTACTACAGTCTAGAAAAATGCAATCCACCACGACGCCATTATCAATAAAATTCATACTTTTTTGAACCAGAATTTGACACAACAGTTCAGGGGAATGTTTTTTTCGGTAACTGAACTGGTAGCTGCTTAACGAATTGTTCACAGTCAAATGAGACGTCAGCCTATCGCTAATTAATTCCTCAAACACTTTCGACAGAGGATGGAGAGAGCTGACTGGTCGCCAGCTTTCAGGAAGTGTAAGGTCACACGACTGCTTTGGAACTGGAGTGACGTACGACAGCTTCCAAATATCTGGAAATCTTTGTTCGTGGAAACAACAATTAAACAAAAGTTTTAAAGGAG